TGTTACGCTTTTATCAGGTGAAAATGTTAACAGCTTCACGTATTTTGAGTTCACTCATTAAGGACGGTTATTATCGCCTGGATGTCCAACATAAAGTACTTCATGTACCGAAAAAAAAAAAACATGAGTTCAACCTAAATGTTACTTTAGTATAACGTACCTTCTCAACATCTATAGGCTATGTGTTCAAGCATTCTGTAATTGAAAATATTAAGTTTTGTTAACATTAATATACGTTTATACCGTAATGAACTTACTGTACAATTAATCTTTGAAAATTTTAGTGATTTTTAAGTAAAGAAAATATATAAATTACTTTAATTTTTGTTGTTGTTCGCAAGACGGTTACCCCACTTTGTTTTTCAAGCAATACAAATAGTTTTCAGTTGTATTAAATCGATTGTTTTACTTATAGTCTAATACGATTATTCATCACAATCGTTCCTTCACATACAATAATCACATCTACATTCGCACACCTCACAATCCAAACCTCGAACCTCAGTCCTCGGTTCCCACAAACAGTTTTAATTCGATTACAACCGAGGTCGCGTCTGATGATTACGACGCTCAATTCATTACCTGCAAACCTCCCCCCTATTATTAGTCCCGATCCTCCCTCCGATCTTAATATGCATTATTCTCATCTACTTAAATTAGTTTTCGACCGAAACTTTGATTGGGGGGCTGACCTTGGAGGAGGTACCGATATCTCATCAGCGCCGAGCTGAGGCTCTTGCCTTCCAGTCTCCTGCTCCTCTCGCCACATTTTCCATCAATTTGTGGAAAATTAAGGGATCCTATCGCTCGCTTTGAGCTCGCCGTTATCAGAATATTAGTTTCTCAAAACATCTGCTAATTGCTGTCGATCGCGTGATATCGACGTGCCGCTCACACCGCGGGCTTTTAGAAGCCGGACACGTTCCCGATACTACTGTTAGACGACTTTATCGTTGGAAATGTTGTTGACAAGGTTTAGTGAAAATATGGACAGTTGTGATGCATTAAAACCATTGACTACGAAGATTAAAAGGTACATTCCCGTGTTAATTTAGAAGTTGAATTGTTCCATCGACGGAGTGTGCTGACGTCAATTCGATTTCAAACTGATTTCGATTGTATGCACCTCATTTATAAGAAACAAAACTAAAAGGACGACTTAAGCCTACCTATAAGCTATATAGTCCAGTCAATGAATGATCCAAAAGTAGGTGTAGAGTGCGTGAGCCGGTAACTAAGCGATTCCTTCAGAAACTTGTTCAGGGGGCTTAGGGTGTTAACATACCAAAAGTCCTGACTCCTAGGTGGTGAGCCAGGGGGTGGAGGGGGGGAAAAGGGGGGGGGAAAGGTACGCATTTTGGGTTTTTTGATTATATCTCGAAAACTATCAACTTTTTGTATACTATAGTAAAATATAAAATTGAAGAAGATTAAATTTTCTACAAGAAAAGTATATAATGTGTTTATTTTGGTTCAACAGATTACGAGTTATAACTTATTTAATTGATATCTTATTAAAATACTCCTTCCATAAGAAATACATGTAAATTAGTATGCGAAATGGGGCGAATCCTATCCGCCCAAAGGAAATATAACTGATATTCTGGAAATCTTGACAAAATTTCCAGTAATTTGACACTTTAATCATGAAATTTTGTCAAAAATTAAAGCGAGGGTGAGCGTTTAAAAATGGGATGATTTAAGGTTTTTTTTATATTTCCAATAAAAAAACACCAAAACTCGACATTTTGTTACCTCGCCCTCGCCTTAATTTTGGATCAATTTTAATGATCAAAGTGTCAAATTACTGGATATTTTGTCAAGATTTCCAGAATATCATTTATATTTCCTTTGGGTGGATAGGATTCGCCCCATTTCGCATACTAATTTACATGTATTTCTTATGGAAGGAGATTTTAATAAGATATCAATTAAATAAGTTATAACTCGTAATCTGTTGAACCAAAATAAACACATTATATACTTTTCCTTGTAGAAAATTTAATCTTCTTCAATTTTATAATTTACTATAGTATACAAAAAGTTGATAGTTTTCGAGATATAATCAAAAAACCCAAAATGCGTACCTTTCTCCCCCCCTTTTTCCCCCCTCCACCCCCTGGCTCACCACCTAGGAGTCAGGACTTTTGGTATGTTAACACCCTAAGCCCCCTGAACAAGTTTCTGAAGGAATCGCTTAGTTACCTGCTCACGCACTCTACACCTCATTCCTTGACTGGACTAATAGCATACTTTATGACTCGTAAGTTACGGTATTAATAAATGGATAAAATGTAACGCTGACACCACTCTAGGTCCACCGAAATTTTAGAGACTTGATGATATGATTATTGACAAACATTTGTATTTTGTAAATATGCCCTGTACGTTCATTTAAGGAGCACTAAGAACTATTTTCAGATTTGCTACATCTCTTATTGGATATTGTTATAAAATATTCAACTCTCCTTAGGTAACAAAATTGTCCTGTTTGGAGCCTTTTAACTTCTACGGCTAGAACTCTCAGCTTATTTTAATGTACTGTAAGAGTAGCTCATTGACGCATACATCCTTTGAATGATCATAGAACTTTATGTGAGAATGTGTGTGTGTGTGTTTTTTTTTTTTATAAGGAAGCATCCAAGTCTAACTTTCACCCAAGTTTAACCTCTAGGAGAAACGAGTAAATAACTCAAACCCGTGGGAGACAATCACCTAACGAACCTCGCCGAAAGTAATTGAGTAGCGTCATATTTTCGAATAATTTCGTCAAAATGGACTGTAAAGTGGGCGAGTGGGCTTGCTCAGCCGGCAAATCACTATTTACAGGGCGAGAACCGTGTATTTTGCCCAGGTAAAATACGGTCGCTCGCCGGTCCGAACACTTTGTTAGAGAAGGTGTTTAATAACGGCTTGTCGGTAATAACCTTCATTTGGACTTGTTTTGGGCAAACACTAAATAATAAGCGATCTCACGCCCCGATACTCGCCCGATTATCTCTATCTGTAATCGGCCTTTGTTGCTGTGGCGGTTTAATCACTTCATGTATTAAAATACGGTCCGAGTTCAAACTGAAATTTGTGGCTGGTGAATGTACTGCGGATCGCAAAGTGATTTCCATCATTGCCTCGTTACGTGTGAAAGGACCGTATGTGTGGATGTAGAAGCCGGTTGTGTCTTCGGGATACTTTTAGTTTAGCTGTTCTATACTGCTCTCTTGCAATAACAGTATTTTATCTTCCTGTAGCAACCAAGATTGACATCTTCTCTAGTAACGATTTACAAGTCAAAACTTGGTCGTAAGTCACAATTACAGGACACATTAAAACAATAAATTATTCATCGAGAGAACTTAGTTCTAACAAATAAATATATTCCTGAACCGGCAGAAAACCCAAAAAATAGTTCGTCATGCTGATGCATGATTTTTAAAACCATACACATTATACTTATGTGAAAGGTATACCTCTATGATCATTCGGTACTTGTAGACCGATAATTTTTGGAGGATACATGACAGCGCTCTTGAGATAGTTGAAAGTGGAAGAGGTACAAAACTATAAGAAAAGGGTACTGACAAACTTTTATCACAAGATGATAAATCATGTTTGCTCAAATTCAGTTATCCGGAGCTATCCGCATCATGAAATTTCTTAACAAGACAGATACGAAACCCGATTGTTCTATGTTCTACATCAACTGTCGCTGTACAGTACTTGGTACTAAGCACTGAAACCCTATTTTTATATCGAAAACTTATATTAGACCTTCATCTGGTTTAGAGGGCCTTCAAACATTGACTTCTATCCTTCTATATGGGTAGTTAAATAAGTTACAGACAAATATTTGCGTTTGTAGCATGGTTTTAAGCTTATCAACGTCAACTTCATTACGAAGCGGCTTCTTCTTAGTGCCACCTACCAAACCTTTTTTTCTCCTGAAAGTTAATTTTTTCATGTAAATGGCCAGTTTGTAGAGTCACAACTACAAGAACACGCTGTCGCCTTGATTCACCTCGGCATTTCCTAAACAGAGCGACAAGAGCGGTCACATCACAGGAGCGGAATGGTCGGAACGGTCCTCGTATGCTAATAGTTTGCACCTGACCCTTTGTCTGCATTGCTACCAACTGTCAATCACACTTCACCAGGTCTACCACCACCGCCACACGGAATACGCTCCTTCCCTCATTATGGCTACATAACAATGTCGGCTGGTTATTACAACTTGGTATGGTTGTTAGTTTATTTGAGAACGGGGCTTGTGTTTTTCTATCTGCTTTGTATTTTGATCTTTCCAACGTTGCGTGATCTTGTAATTGTGTGCATGGCGTGGCACGAATCAACCGAAGCACGTGGTTGGCAAGGAAGGGATTTTCAAGAAGATGGTCCCAATTTTGTCAATTTACCTTTATGGGAATGGAGGTGACGCTAAACTAACCTAACCTAGCCTAGCCTAATCACACCCAACCTAACCTAATCTAACTATCACACAGTAATTTTAATAGGGGCGGCCCTCTTTTTAAAAGACCTCCCGACTGCAGACTTTTCTGACTTGAATTCGTAGTCGCGTTACCGACTCGCCTCTTTTATGTCTGCAATATTAATCATAGCTCACCAAATTATGAACTTAAAAATCTCCAATCATGGAATTATTTTGAGCAATCATGGATGACAACTGCAAAAAGACCTTAACAAACATGCTGTTGCCCGTAGCTTAAAGTATTGTCTAATCCTTCGAAATGGGTAGGTAGGCCTACATTAGCTATATGGACAAATATTTGCGTTTCTAGAATTATTTTCATAGTGACGATTCCCTTATTAATGTGAACTACATTGCGTTGCAGCTTTTTCTGAGTGCCACCTACCCCCATGTTATATTTCCACGATTTTATAGTTAAATTGGTTTTGGTAGGTATCAGTCATATTTGTCAACTTTTCCCTGTTTTATGTTGGACTATTGTGAAGTTTCCTCTGGTAGATGGATGGATGTTACTCACCGAGCGTTCACGGAGTTGGGATGCCCGACGTCGTCCGCCGAGGGTTTCCTGCAACAGAAGATGACATTTAGAGAGTGGCGAAATTTCGCTTCTCCGGCCTTTGGCCTACCTCTACTGTCTAGAAGAATATAAACGAAGTAATGATATGTTACAACTTACAAACTATGTATAATTTAAAGTACGAGATTATAGTATATGCCTGCATTGTTTCAATAATGTAAAATCTAAAAAAGGGACAAATGTAGCTGTCAAATCAGTGTTTACCTGATTCATCCGCTTTATGGTAGGTTGGGAGTAGTTCTAACCCATATTAAATCGCTCGGGAAGTATCGGGAAGTTCCAGGATACAGCTAATTACATATGTATAAATCTAAGAGGCCCTAAGGATATATTACCATTCTTGGTACTTTAAAGTGACCAAAATTAATTCATGACCAATCTGGAGATGCTGAAAGATAAATGGTGCAATAATTGTATCTAACAGTTTGCAGATAGTATTATTCCATGATTCCCTGGTCTTTACATTTGACTAATGTAGCTAGAAACATCACAAAAATACCACCTATGTTGAAACTGCAAGTTCGCATCACAGACCAGACGCAAGACAGCAAAGTATTGTCAAGAAGCTTTGTCTTTTGACACCTTTCAATCATCTTCTTTTATGTAGATAAGCCTTCGTCGATATTTTGTATAAACTAGTTCACGTTGTAGGAATATTGCGTTGATATAGCCTACTACTGTGCGAATGAAAAAACTGTACATTTTAAATTCCCATGTCACTCTTTTGGATAAATAGTAAACTGTCGTAGTTAGCTGGCTTATGTATATGTATTTGGATCAAATTTGTCAAATTTATATTTTATACTATTGTATACCATTAACGTTATACTGTACAAAAAACACACCTCTTTCCCTTCCCTGAAGCAGCAAATTTAAGTTCTCGTTAAAACAAATGTTTTTAGGGGAATAAATCTGACATGTTTTTAAGAAAACATTATACGTACTTATCTACAGACACTCGTATTTCAAACAATTCACATATACTCAGAATATTATTCTACCGCCAAAGTATTATTTGTTGTCACTCGTTCCCTAAATCATTCAAAAACACAAAGTCCAATGACCACTTAACTAGGCAAACAGCCCAAGGGATCAGCTCCCTCTTCCCACCTTTTTCAATATCTCCCGCCCCCGGAACTACAGGTGGCCCCCAGGGGAGACTTGGAGGTCAAGGTCATGTATAATGACCGGTGTGGCCCTCACTCCCTTATTATCCGGGGTGCGAAAGGGTGAACCGGCTGAGGCTAATAACACACTAGCTACTCCCCACCCTATACTTGCCTCCCTTCATCTACATTCGTTACGAGACACTAGCAGTTAGGTATAAATAGTTGTGGTTAATTTGTTGGGGATTGGATCCAATTTGCTTAAGATTGTTCCTAGTTGGAAACAGGTTGACAGTAATCGTGTGTAGGTAAATTTTGATTTTGGATACTTTTCATTGATGTTTGATGTTTTTTACTAAGTGTTTGATTGATTTGTTTCAAAGTTTGGTACCAAATACATCCCTCATGCAACTAAAATTTGTATTTAATCACCTTGATAAAACGGTGATGCACTGTAGTGAATAATTTAAATTAAAATATTAAACATTGTTTTAAAAATATGGTGAATGCAGTGCAGTATGAGGTAAGATGACATCTATAGCTATGTTCACGTACTGACCAGCTGTTTCCTTTTCTAGGAACATGTTTTTGAAGCCCAATTATTGGCAAGCAAAGTTCAGTCCAGTTCTGAACTATTCAGTTACTTTTCGCAGCATAGAATCGGAAATTTTAATTATTAAATGAGCACTAAAACTTTGAGGCATAGCTATATTTTACAGTGTTGGGTAAAACAAACATTTAATTTATCCCAATTCGTTATGATGTGTTTAATTGTTTTTCATTTATTTTTATCATAGCCATCAGAGTAATCAATAGGCTATTAAATAGTAAATCAACTATTCTATTTACAGTGGAACCTTGATAACAAGACCCACGATAACAAGTCACCTCAAAAAAGAAGTTAACCCTGATAACAAGTCTTTTTTAATAATCCCCGTGAGAGTCTTGTTATCGCGGTCCTACTGTATTACAGAATATAATACCTCATAATAATATATACATTTACAACATTATCGCCCACGATTCCTGTAAACAATAAAGACACAGTTTAAAAACAATTTCTTGGGGATTTTCACTGAAAACAATAACGGACACATTTATATGAAACCTCAAGTGAACATTTTTCTTGTCCTACTTGACATTTCCCACATAACCTCATCCAAATCCACTCCACCCACGAATTCCCACATTCAAACGACCAACGGCTTCTGATTCGTTACGTCGTCAAGAACTCAAGGGCTGTGATCTGGTATCAATCAAAATCAAAGCATGTCCCAGGTACAATAGAATATCTGACGGGAGAGAGAGAGAGAGAGAGAGATACAGTGGGGGTGGGAGGGGGTGGGTGTCCAGAGTCAAATGAAGACCGAGGGAGAAGACAATCTAACTTTGCAGGGGTGAAGGCAATTTATGGTGACTATTTGCAGATGCATGTTGATCAGCTGACTTCCTATTGCGAGTTGCCACCGATGTAATGTTTCAGTTTCAATCTGTTGCTAATTCAGTGGATTGTTTGTTCGCTTTACACCAGCTATTTATTACAGGGGTGGGAATCTTCGCGCGTCTTTTGCGATTGTTTCTTTTTGGAAATTGTTTGAGTGGATTTAAATTTGTAAGGTAGTTTTAATTTTATGAAGTTGACTTTGTTGTTTCGTATTGCGGATTATTTTAGTTAATATGAATAATCGTGTTGTGTCAAAAAAGATTTTATGATCAAACATGTTAAACCATTATCTGCTATTACAGTATATTATATTTTATAATTTTGAAAAGAAAACCAATTGAAGCTATTTAAAAGGTTATAAAATTATTTAATTGCACAAAGGTGTTTGATAGTCATTTTAATGCGTAAAGGCCAAAAACAAACACTATATGTACATAAAATATGTTTACTAAAGTTACTGAATGAACATTCACTAAAATAGTTTACCATCAACGGGGTAAAATTTATTGTTAGTTCATTTAATATTTTAAAAGGAATAATACAACCACTTATCCACGTAAACAAACTAATTAAACTCATGACAATTTATAATCAAACAAAACTTCATATATATGAACAAAATTCAAATAAATTACTATGAGTCATACAATGACTTCATTAGGTTAAAATGGATTTGATTTACCAACGCAAAGATTATTTTAAATTAAACAAACCAAGGTACCATTATATAAATGTCTTTAAAAAATTACTAAGAAACTGCCAATATCACAATAATAAAACAATAATCGTCACATAAAATTTAAAATCTTTCAATTAGCTTCTTTTTAAAAGACACCATAACATCGCTTACAAAGCCTAACACAGTACACGGATAAGAAACAATTATTTTAAACTCCAGATGAAGATTACAACCTAGTAATATTTACCTGTATTGAAACAAGTTGAATTTTCCTAACTCGAAAACCCCTTCCATAAATGTCACTCAAAAACCACTTGTGCACCACAGCCACCACTATATCTTGTACAACCACTGCCACATGTACCGACGAACCACTGCCTACCAAAGGGTTAGTTCCCTCCCCGTCTCGGTACCCCCTCCACAGCCTTCTCTATCTTGGTCTATTCAATACACCCTCAATTTGTAGTTGAAAAGATTCATTATGTTTTAATAACTCCATTGTGTCTACGGTTTCGTTTAGTAACTTAGTCATTGTTTAGTTTTAGACAGGAATTTTCGAATGTAAATCTTGAAAGTAGTTGTTTTGAATTCTTCTAAAGGTTTATTCCAGGGTTTATAAATCGGTCTTTTTATTGGCTAGTTTCTTTTACATTAAGAAATGTAATAAATGTGTAAATGTGGGGTTTGTGCTAACATAGTAAGTAAGTCATGTACGAGTGATAAGAATACCTTTTCCCGTTTGTGAAAATGTGGAAATACCCTTTTTGACAGATTTCTTGCTCATCTTAGAAGATACGATGATAAACTATCTTCTCGATGGATCAATTGCTAATGATAAACCAGTTGTTCCATTGGGACCAAACAAACAGAAGGCTCAGTAAATAGAGGTTTCTGAGACGGAAGCAGATCTAAATTAGTAGTCGGTGACAGCAATGTTGAAGCATAAGCCAATCTGCATGTTAAATAGAAGGGGGCTAAGACACTGCCGTGGTGGGCTGAAGTGATGACGAAACATCATAATCAAGTAACACTTCTAAATAGTCAATTTTAAAATAAGAGTGTTGAAAAATCCAGGTATACATATAGGCAGTTAATTCCTGATAAAATAGTAGATTTAGTATTTTATTTACTTTAATCTGCTTGATTTTTAAAGTCATTGGACTACATGCAAATTTACCAAGTTTTGTATTATCTATTATGTGACAAAAATAGAATATGTTTTTATTTTAGGTACTCCTTGCTAGCTTTTCTGTAAATACGATTCCAGTATACAAAAAAAAAAACAAAAAAAAACAGAACTATGCATAAAAATATCCTAGAATGTTAAATCGTGTACAGTCTTGTACAAAATATTCCAAATTAAATCCTCATATTCAGATCACAGAATTAGGTTTCCAATTAAGTGTTCCTCACGATGGAGAGAGTGTTTTACGTAGTTTAATCAGATGCAAAATTTACTAACTAATTGTATAGAATATTCTTAACAAACCCCCTGAATTTAAATCACAGTATAAGTTTTACAGTGGGACAGTACGTTTATTTTTACGTTCGTATTCCTGGTTCGTACACACCGTTAACGTGGCGGAGAAGGAACTTCCAATGGTATGGTCAAAATATTATAATATAGCATAATTACATTACCTTGCAATTTTTTTTATCTCATGACCTTTCACGCTTCCCTACTTATACTACATGTTGCCAATAACAACGTAATTAGCATAGTACTGTTGTCAGCATCGTCAGTGCCACGGTGGAAGGT